TATCTCTGCTTTAAACGTCTGGTAGAACTCCCCTGGGAAGCCATCTGGTCCTGGACTCTTATTTGTTGGGAGATTTTTGATAACCGATTCAATTTCTTCGCTGGTGATGGGTCTGTTCAAGCTTTCTCTTTCCTCCTGATTGAGTTTTGGAAGAGTGTGGGTGTTCAGGAATTTGTCCATTTCTTCCAGGTTGTCCAAATTGTTGGCATATAATTTTTCATAGTATTCCCTGATAATTGTTTGTATCTCTGAGGGATTGTAATAATTCCATTTTCATTCATGATTTTATCTATTTGGGTCATCTCCCGTTTCTTTTTGAGAAGCCTGGCTAGAGGTTTGTCAATTTTGTTTATTTTTTCAAAAAACCAACTCTTGGTTTCGTTGATCTGCTCTACAGTTTTTTTAGATTCTATATTGTTTATTTCTGCTCTGATCTTTATTATTTCTCTTCTTCTGCTGGGTTTAGGCTGCCTTTGCTGTTCTGCTTCTATTTCCTTTAGGTGTGCTGTTAGATTTTGTATTTGGGATTTTTCTTGTTTCTTGAGATAGGCCTGGATTGCAATGTATTTTCCTCTCAGGACTGCCTTCACTGCGTCCCAAAGCATTTGGATTGTTGTATTTTCATTTTCGTTTGTTTCCATAATTTTTTAATTTCTTCTCGAATTGCCTGGTTGACCCACTCATTCGTTAGTAGGATGTTCTTTAACCTCCATGCTTTGGGAGGTTTTCCAGACTTTTTTCTGTGGTTGATTTCAAGCTTCATAGCATTGTGGTCTGAAAGTATGCATGGTATGATTTCAAGTCTTGTAAACTTATGAAGGGCTGTTTTGTGACCCAGTATATGATCTATCTTGGAGAATGTTCCATGTGCACTCGAGAAGAAAGTATATTCTGTTGCTTTGGGATGCAGAGTTCTAAATATATCTGTCAAGTCCATCTGATCCAATGTCTCATTCAGGGCCCTTGTTTCTTTATTGACCATGTGTCTGGATGATCTATCCATTTCTGTAAGTGGGGTGTTAGAGTCCCCTGCAATTACCACATTCTTATCAATAAGGTTGCTTATGTTTATGAGTAATTGTTTTATATATTTGGGCGCTCCGGTATTCGGCGCATAGACATTTATAATTGTTAGCTCTTCCTGATGGATAGACCCTGTCACTATTATATAATGTCCTTCTTCATCTCTTGTTACAGCCTTTAATTTAAAGTCTAGTTTGTCTGATATAAGTATGGCTACTCCAGCTTTCTTTTGGCTTCCAGTAGCATGATAAATAGTTCTCCATCCCCTCACTCTCAACTAAAGGTGTCCTCAGGTCTAAAATGAGTCTCTTGTAGACAGCAAATAGATGGGTCTTGTTTTTTTATCCATTCTGATACCCTATGTCTTTTGGTTGGCGCATTTAATCCATTTACATTCAGTGTTATTATAGAAAGATATGGGTTTAGAGTCATTGTGATGTCTTTATGTTTTATGCTTGTAGTGATGCCTCTGGTACTTTGTCTCACAAGGTCCCCCTTAGGATCTCTTGTAGGGCTGGTTTAGTGGTGACAAATTCCTTCAGTTTTTGTTTGTTTGGGAATACCTTTATCTCTCCTTCTATTCTAAATGACAGACTTGCTGGATAAAGGATTCTCGGCTGCATATTTTTTCTGTCTAGCACACTGAAAATCTCGTGCCAATTCTTTCTGGCCTGCCAAGTTTCAAAAGAGAGATCAGTCAAGAGTCTTATAGGTCTCCCTTTATATGTGAGGGCACGTTTACCCCTTGCTGCTTTCAGAATTTTCTCTTTATCCTTGTATTTTGCCAGTTTCACTATGATATGTAGTGCAGAAGATCGATTCAAGTTACGTCTGAAGGGAGTTCCCTGTGCCTCTTGGATTTCAATGCCTTTTTCCTTCCCCAGTTCCGGGAAGTTCTCAGCTATTATTTCTTCAAGTACCCCTTCAGCACCTTTCCCTCTCTCTTCCTCCTCTGGGATACCAATTATGCGTATATTATTTCTTTTTAGTGTATCACTTAGTTCTCTAATTTTCCCCTCGTACTCCTGGATTTTTTTATCTCTCTTTTTCTCAGCTTCCTCTTTTTCCATAACTTTATCTTCTAGTTCACCTATTCTCTCCTCTGCCTCTTCAATCCGAGCCGTGGTGGTTTCCATTTTGTTATGCATTTCGTTTAAAGCGTTTTTCAGCTCCTCGTGACTGTTCCTTAGTCCCTTGATCTCTGTAGCAAGAGATTCTCTGCTGTCAGCTATACTGTTTTCAAGCCCAGCGATTAATTTTATGACTATTATTCTAAATTCACTTTCTGTTATATTATTTAAATCCTTTTTGATCAGCTCATTAGCTGTTGTTATTTCCTGGAGAATCTTCTGAGGGGAATTCTTCCGCTTGGTCATTTTGGATAGTCCCTGGCGTGGTGAGGACCTGCAGGGCACTTCCCCTGTGCTGTGGTGTATAACTGGAGTTGGTGGGCGGAGCCGCAGTCAGACCTGATGTCTGCCCCCAGCCCACCGCTGGGGCCACAGTCAGACTGGTGCGTGCCTTCTCTTCCCCTCTCCTAGGGGCGGGATTCACTGTGGGGTGGGGTGGCCTGTCTGGGCTACTTGCACACTGCCAGGCTTGTGATGCTGGGGATCTGGCGTCTTAGCTGGGGTGGGTAGGCAAGGTGCACAGGGGCAGGAGGGGCAGGCTTAGCTTGCTTCTCCTTAGGTGATCCACTTCAGGAGGGGCCCTGTGGCAGCAGGAGGGAGTCAGATCCGCTGCCGGAGGTTTGGCTCCGCAGAAGCGCAGAGTTGGGTGTTTGCGCGGAGCGAGCAAGTTCCCTGGCAGGAACTGGTTCTCTTTGGGATTTTGGCTGGGGGATGGGCGGGGAAGATGGCGCTGGCGAGCGCCTTTGTTCCCCACCAAACTGAGCTCTGTCGTCAGGGGGCTCAGCAGCTCTCCTTCCCTTTGTCCTCCAGCCTTCCCGCTTTCTGAGCAGAGCTGTTAACTTATGACCTCCCAGACGCTAAGTCACGCTTGCTGTCAGAACACAGTCCGTCAGGCCCCTCCGCTTTTTGCAAGCCAGACTCGGGGGCTCTGCTTGGCCGGTGAGCCGCCCCTCCGCCCAGGCTCCCTCCCGCCAGTCCGTGGAGCGCGCACCGCCTCGCCGCCCTTCCTACCCTCTTCCGTGGGCCTCTCGTCTGCGCTTGGCTCCAGTGACTCCATTCTGCTAATCCTCTGGCGGTTCTCTGGGTTATTTAGGCAGGTGTAGGTGGAATCTAAGTGATCAGCAGGATGCGCGGTGAGCCCAGCGTCCTCCTACGCCGCCATCTTCCCTCTCCTCCTCTATGTAAGCACTTTTTATAACCCTAGTCACTTCATAGATTCTGGTAGATATATCAATCTTCATTCAGTTTATGTTTATTTATATGTGTGGTTCATCTTTGAATGTCCTTTGTAAATGTAATTTTAATTATATCCATTGCTATCAGAAAATTTGTAATATTTAAAAAAAATTTTTAATGTTTATTTCTGAAACAGAGACAGAGCATCAGTGGGGGAGGGGCAGAGAGGGAGGGAGACACAGAATCTGAAGCAGACTCCAGGCTCCCAGCTGTCAGCACAGAGCCTGACGTGGGGCTCGAACTCACAAACTAAAATCATGACTGAGCCGAAGTCAGTCGCTCAACTGACTGAGCCACCCAGGCGCCCCAGGAAATGTGTAATATTAAAAGAGCTCACCATGTTTCAGAGACCAGCTTTTCTATAACATCTTTTTCCTTTATGTAGTGGGGAAATTAAAATACACTTTTGAGGTCTTTTCCATGTGTACTGTTACATGAATCAGTATTTATACAACTTTTATTTAAGGCTTACGATAATCATTCAGTCCTTTAGTGCAATAAAAGCGAGCTATAATACTGATTATAGTAAAATGTGGAGAAATCAGAATACAGTCTTATTTGTATTTTATTTTGTATGTACATACATTTGCAACATTTTTTAAATGCTACATTGGGTAAACTTTGTTAAAGGCACTTTAAAAATTGTGCTGAAATCCTGAATTAGTTGCTACCAGAAAGTTTTTCTGTGTATTTTACTTCATTTGGTAATTGTAAATTCACTGAGCACAATGATCTTGTAGAATGTCTGATCTGGACATATACTTTAAAGATCTAGTTAAATATGCCAATTTTGTGAATAAGGAAGTTAAGTGTTAGAAAAATGAGAGGAATGGCTCAGGATTACACAGAGAATTATTATAAGCAAGATCTAGATCCAGCCACCTTGATGCCCAGTATAGCACTTTTGCCGTAGCCCCTGAGCTTTCTGTTGAAGTTCACTGCACCAGCCAGAGTGCACTTGATATTGCCCATTTGATGATCTTTCCAATGAGAAGCAATTTAGTAGTTTTGTTTAAAGTAATCGTCCTGGAGATTGTTCAAGGACAAGACAGCTGACCAATGAAAATTCTCACAAATGCAAGCACAAAAACCTTGCCATACCCCTTCTTATAGAAGGGCAGACTACATCACAAGCAATGTAATAGCAGCACCCAAGAGTCAGAAGAGTCAAATGAACCCTGGGTCAACACCAACCAGAATACATGGCATTGTAGATATACTGATTAATCAAAATTAGAAACAGTAAAAGTAAAAACAAACTTTCTAAGGACAAAACCCTGGACGTTTGAAACTTATATTATTCAGTGTCTTACTTAAATTTTTATTTTTATTGAAATATAATTGATATATAACCATTACTGTCTTCCCTTGGTTTTATACTTTAAAATACACCTGTTTCAGTCAAGTATGGAGATTTTGATCTTGATCTTTTTAAAATGGTCATATTATCTGCCAGGCCAATAATGACAAAATTGCCAATAATGGGATTTTTTTAAAACCCACTAGTAAAAATGTCTTCTTGATGTATATGGGTAAACTTTTTTTTGTTTTTTAAGAAAAAAGATTTTAAAAACAGGATCGTTTTGTCATCACAGTAAACTCTCTCCACAGCAACAACTCTATATTGGTTCCACCACGGGGGTTGCCCAGCTCCCTCTACACCGATGCGATATTTACGGGAAAGCGTGTGCAGAGTGCTGCCTTGCCCGAGACCCTTACTGTGCCTGGGATGGCTCTTCATGCTCTCGCTATTTTCCCACTGCAAAGAGGTAGGAGAAGTATTAGAGATAAATACACTTTTCTTACCTGATTCCATTTTTAACAGCTTTCTGCATATAAGTACATCACATTTTTCTGATGAATGAAGAGTGTCACATAATTCTGATGAATTAGAGGAGTTTTGGGGTTTCTTCCCCTTACATAGTTAAAACAGTCAGAAGAATGTGTATAATTATAGCTGGGTACTAAATATAAGGGAACGTATGGTTTTAATAAATTACTGAGGGAAATCCAAAACATTACAATACTACCCTTGAATGTTGACACTTGGAAATTAGAAAGTTTTGCAACTTCATTTTATACAGGCAGAAAAGGGAGGGCCAAAACCACAGAGGAAGTCAATCAGAATCTACACTGGACCTTGTGCCTTTTGGCCAAAATGCTGTGCTCCAAAAATGCTCTTCTTTTTCTATCTAGCAACATTCTATCCTGGTTTTAGATTTTAATAAGGCAGTTTCTGTTTGGATGAATGGAAAATTTGCAACAAAAATAATTTATTTACTTTTAGCCTCCTAGTACACAGGGACTCAACTTTAAAGTCAAAAAATTTTCCTAGTTTTAAAGATAACACATTTTTGTATAATGATTAATTAGCATCAAATTATATCTTTCTTTAGCCCCAAATATATATTTATTTGACTCCCCCCAAATTTAAAGGCCATTGTATTATCATAGTATGATCTTGTATTTGTATTTGTTGAAATATAAAACCGTATAATAAAATGGCTATTTATTAATCTTTGTGTATGCATTATACAAATATTTTAAACACGCTCTTAATACTTAAAAGCATTATTTTTGTTAATTCGAAGTTGCTAAGATATGCCTAGAAGTTACCTAAAACAATATGCCTAGAAAAAAAATAGCTGTAAGTTGTTGTCTGGGACATTAAGGGTATGTGATGTAGGAGTACTATTACAGGAGTACTATTAACCTTCAGGGAACTCTTAGACACATCCTAAATGTTGTACGCAAAGTTAGTTTACTTCTGTTTGAAAAAATAAGAACACTTCCTTAATTTGACAAAATATTTATCTCAACATATTCTCTACTCACATAGGGATCCCTTTCTCTGTTAATTATTTACCAGTATTTAAGAAACAAGCAATGAAAGGTGAGAGTCGTATACCATATCTTGCTAATATAAGCCCAAAGCTTAGCAGTATATGTACATCAACCTATTGAAACATAAAATAGAAATCAGAGTGATCAAGCCACTGCATTTTAGGAGCAATACAATTTGTTTTATTTTGTTTATTTATTTATTTATTTTTTTGCTATAGTTAACGTTTTACAAGAAGCTGTGATGTGGATTTTTTTCACTGCTAGTCAGCTGTGTTCTTCAACATATGCATCATTTATAGTGTTTTGAAAAAATTTTAGGGGAAAAGAATAGCCCTAATGCCTACTGCCTACTTAAATCTTTTTTTTTTTAAGTTTATTGATTTATTTTGAGAGAGAGAGAGTGAAAACGGGAGAGGCAGAGACAGAATCCCAGACAGGCTCCACGCTGTCAGAGTGGAGACCAGCCCAGGGCTTGAACTCACAAACCGTGACATCATGACCTGAGCTAAAATCAAGAGTTGGACATTTAACTGACTGAGCCACCCAGGTGCCCCTACTTAAATGTTTTGATTACATACTTCAGATAACATTGGCTTTAGTATTAAAATTTTTTTTTCAACGTTTATTTATTTTTGGGACAGAGAGAGACAGAGCGTGAACGGGGGAGGGGCAGAGAGAGAGGGAGACACAGAATCGGAAACAGGCTCCAGGCTCTGAGCCATCAGCCCACAGCCTGATGCGGGGCTCGAACTCACGGACCGCGAGATCGTGACCTGGCTGAAGTCGGACGCTTAACCGACTGCGCCACCCAGGCGCCCCAACTTTAGTATTAAATCATATATAACTTAAATCTATCCTATAATCAGTCCATATAGATTAAAAGTTATCTTGTTAATATTGTATGTAAATATCGTATTAGCTTATTCCATTTAATAAATAGAATTTTCTCAAGCCTTCAACATTCAGAATTAAGAGAACGTGTTTGTATTCTTTCATTTACCAACTGATTTTTTTAGAAGTTTAAATCTAAAACAAACGTGTAGTGTGGAGGTAATGTGTTATAGAATGAAGAAACCATCAATAGTTTAATAAGTAGCAATTTGCAGTTTTTATAGCACTAAAATTAAATTGCTTAAGGTTGAACTTTTATGGTTCTTAAAATCAGTAAGATCTAGTGCTTTTAGTGTTGAAAAACATAAAAATTCAGATTTCAGTTAAAAATGAGTGTCATTTCCTTTCCATGTGGAAGTGTATGTAACATTACCTAATTTAGTAATAATTCATTCAAATTTTAAGCTTTTTTAATAAGAAAGAAGTTAAAAATAAGAAAACTACATCTATAATAAATTACAAATCTGTATATTATTATATATTTGAAATATGTTTACCTCATACCTACAAATCCAGATTGAAGGAATTATCATTAACACGTTTTTTGTTGTGCCTTGAAGATTTTACTTAATCCAATTTCATGTGTCTTTGAAAAGGATGTTTAGAGGCCTTACAATTTATATATTCTTTGTGATGGCATTTTTCAAAAGCTTAAATGGCAGTAAAAAATGCCTTTCCAAATGCTTTGTGGTTCATGTTTCACAAGTTCCCTTGTTGGCTCAATTTTGAAATGTGCAACATCTGTTTGATAGTCTCACCAATTCTACAAATAGAAATCTATAAATACTTTAGTCTTCTAAATTTATGAATACAGTAACAATTTCCATGTTTGCAGTTCTCATTGGCCTTTGTGAGAACTCTCTTCAGTGATGGTAACTAACTTTGCAACAGGACAATAATCATTAAAATCGACACAGAAAACAGTTGAGCAAGTGTCCCCAGTCTTTCTCATTCTGCTATGCGTAGCCCATCTCCATGTTTAGCCTCTTTCCCAAACTACACATCCTGCTTGCACCATGATGGCTGGAGACAACCTCCTTTTTCCCAGTCATCAACCACTAGCAAACGATAAAGAGGACCCCCAGACTGTGTAGCAACTAATGTGATCTCAGCAGCAGTATTTAGGAGAAATTTACTTATATAACAAATTTGGCTTTTATTTTAGAGGGAGGCCACCTTCTCTCTCAGCTTCCTCCACAATATTTGTTATTGCACTCCTCCTTTTATTCATTTCACGGGTAAATTGGCTTGAAATCATAGCCCTATGATCATAAAATAAATGTTTTATTAAAAAATGATCGATACAGAGACCAAAAAGGAAAGTTAAAAACTAACTTAAAAGTAGAATTCGTAGAGTTGATGCTTTCAAATTTAACAAAAGTCTATTTAAGGAATTATGTGTAAGTATTAAGAGAAAGAACATAATCATGGAAATTTGAATTTTTAGGCTTACTCTCTAGTGATTAGAAAAAAGAAGTTTAATCCAGGTTATTGAAGAAATGGGTTACTATTCTATATTTTGTGCTTTTTCCTCAGAATTTAAGGTGCTAAGAATTTTAGAGTTTCCAGATGTTAGTATCTTATTGACTGACACACAGTAGCACAAAACCATGAATCTTCTGTTATTACTTTGAAAGACTTCACTCCTTTGTTGGTAGGTACATTTGTGTACTGTTTCACATTTTGATCACCTGGAGACATGCTCCCACAGGTGTAATGAGCTGCTTTTAAAAAATTCTTTAGGGGCGCCTGGGTGGCGCAGTCGGTTAAGTGTCCGACTTCAGCCAGGTCACGATCTCGCGGTCTGGGAGTTCGAGCCCCGCGTCAGGCTCTGGGCTGATGGCTCAGAGCCTGGAGCCTGTTTCCGATTCTGTGTCTCCCTCTCTCTCTGCCCCTCCCCCGTTCATGCTCTGTCTCTCTCTGTCCCAAAAATAAAAAATAAACGTTGAAAAAAAAATTAAAAAAAAAAAATTCTTTAGTCAGATGTAGATTTGTCTCTTCCATTAAGCTCCGGAAGTTCTTTGATTTTTTTATTCTTCTTAATCCCTGTGACAAATTCCCAAGAAGGAATGAGGATGCCATAATACCTTTTAAATGTAATTGTTTTAGACGTACAAGACGACAAGATATAAGAAATGGAGACCCATTGACTCATTGTTCAGACTTACAACACCATGGTAAGTTACAACACTTTCATTTTTCAACCTGCTAACATTAGGCTAAAATTGTAAGCAATAGTGCATACCCACACGTGGGCATGCAGGGCACACACCTGTGCCAGCATACTTAAGGAAATGCAACTGAAGAGAAAGGAAATCGAGAAGAAAGAAAATTCTAAAGAATGCTAAGTAGTGAATTATATTTTATTATTGCAGTTATGACAGATTCAAGTTTGAGACCCTTACAAGACTTAAATATCAATTTTCTCATATTAACAAAAAGAAGCCAATTTAAGTACATGCTTTGATAATAATAGCAACACAAGAGCAATAGGCAACAGAAATATTCATTTAAGTATATTGAAGAAGAAAGTACAGTCTTAAAATAAGCCATGGAAATCATTCATTAATATGCTGATGACACAGACCCACTATATTGTTACAGGGTACCCTAGCTGAGTAGAAGGTAATTCAGCTACCTTCCCACTCATTTACCAGTAGGATATTTCTTTGAACTGGGGATTTTGGATTGTTTCATTTTATGCTTCCTAAAAGATGTCAAGTCCTATTTAATGTTAAGTAGCTTATTTAATGCTGGGATATGAACCAAACTTCCTTTAAAATGCAACAAAATTGTAGTATATCTCACTCCCCCCACTTCAACCCTTTACAAAAACAATAATGAGGCTGTGCTTCCCTCTGCTGGGAAAATTTATCAATAACATCACTACTAGCAAAAATAGTTAAAAATAGCTGAAATGTAAAATGTAAATATTTTGCATGGAATTGAATATAATTACCCTTTTCACATTTTTGGTGCCTTTTTACATTAATCTTAAAGGAAGGTCTCATATTTTTATCAATTAACTTAGATTTGATCCACTAATTCTGTGTATACAATATTCATGTTTCATGAATGTTAAGAAAGAAAACACACTGCACAAATAACCCCAGCAGGCATTCTAAGGCCTAGCTACCTTCTGAAAGTCAGATCCCCCTTTTGTGTACCCTGTATGTGCTTGTATCTTATTCGGGAATGCTCACAGGGTTTTGTGGGGATGCCAATACCAGGAGACAGGTAGCCACAAAATGAGCCTATATTTAAGGTCCATTTTGCTTGCACAATTTCTTGCCAAGGGCATTACTATCTGTTATTTTTCTCATTATAAAGAAAAAAAAGACACCACTACATTGGACAAAATGTGATTTTTTATATGTCTTTATATAGCTAGAGTACATTATTGACATACTCTTCTTAAATTTTTCAAACAGCATTTTTCAGTTGGACAACAAAACATTCACTAGTTTTCCATTAATCTATTTCATGTAAAAATATTGTATTATAATCATCACCATTTAAGCAATGAGGTATTATAAAGTATGCATTACATTAAAGAATCTTTTTGCTTAGATATGGAAAAGCTAATGATAACTATAAGTAAAGGAAACAAGATGATGTAACTAGAGCTTATTTCTAATCAGACTTTAATCTCCACATCAATATGGACTTTGTTATTTTGCTCACTCATATTTCTGGGGTTATAACAAAATGCAATATCATGAATATTGTAGATGTTTAATAAACTTTTGTTGAATGAATAAACTAAATATTTGAAGCTATAGCAAAGCTACTTACCTTACTGTTTTTGGTTTTCAGTAGAGATTTTAACTAAATAGCATCTATTATTTATCATTAATACGATTTAACAATACATTGCTATTAACATACGTTAATGTTAACACCATAATATTTAAAAATAGACCTCTCTTAAGAAACCATTATCAACCAGTCAATTAATAAATAATCATTATACACTACTCCATGTAGGATAATATGTTATGTTTTGAAGTTTGCTGGAGAATTACTGATAAATCCACTTGTTTAATAATCTAATTCCTTCATAGACCCAGTTGATATTTCTTCAAAATAACATATATGTTGGAGTCACGAGCTTATGTATGTGTATATATATACATACATATATATACATATATATGTATATATATGTATAGAGTGATGAGCTTATAAAAATTGGGAATATAGAATTGCTTAGCTATAGAAAGTAAAGTTAATGTGAATCATTTTTTCTTTTGATACTTCATTCAAAATAGGTACCATAGGGAAGAAAGGGAATTGCTGTGGTTCAGTGTCACTGGGTGTGTGTGTGTGTGTGTGTGTGTGTGGGTGGGTGTGTGTGTGGGTGGGTGTGTGTGTGGGTGTGTAAAAGCAATGCTATGTAGATGTTTGTGATATATGGTAAAATAGTCCAAGAAGCTCAAGCAGCCCTGCAGAAATAAAACATTCCCTTTTTGAAGGCCTCTTTATTTCTTGTCTGCTAGTATTTCTCATTAACCAAACATAAAAATTATACACCATAGATTACAGTAAATTTCAAATGTTTGAAGACTAAGTCAGGCATTCTTATATGGCCAAGCTGAGTCTGACCATTAGGAACCAGTGCATTATCTTAGAATAGGTGATGTAAATATTTGAAAGTAAAATGGGGAAAAACCCATAGCTCAGCGCTATTAAATCATGTATGTTGTCTTGCTAGTGTCACATCTCACATTGAATAAAATATATATGCTCATATGGAAATATATAAAGATATGAGATGTTTTCCCGGAAAGCTGCTAAGCAACTTGAAGCCAAATTACACACTTCAGAACAATCAGTTCCAGCTGTAATGGTAAACATTCTGTAACACTCTATATTTTACATATCCTGAGGTTTTAATAGAGAAACTACATAAAATAACTCAGCATTAAGGTGGAAGAAATTTCACTCTCAATGAAACCTTTAACACTCACTTAGCTCTTTGCTCTCTCTTGTGTAAAGTCAGCACCAGTGGTGAGCTGGCCTAGGTGTAACATAGAAAAATCCAGCTCCATTTCCCCTTAACCTAGCATACTCTATTCCATCGCTGGTGGCTGTTCATCTAGGGAACTTTTAGTATAAAACCCTAAATGTATATGTGCTGGCAGAGCTTCTTGTCTTCTCACTCATACCTCGTACAGAATGCTGAAGAAAAACTTCAGGTTGTTTCCAGTATGCTCCCTTCCCTAAAATAACTTGTGCACAAAATTGGAGCTTGTCTGACTTTGCCATCCAAGAGCATGAGTGGCTGAGTCGATTTACCATTCTACCTTCTTTACTAAACAAGAATAAGCCATACTGTGATCTACATGGCCAGAAAGGAACAAACCATAAGTAACATCTTTAAAAATTAAAAATTAACATAATCTTAGATTTTTGAATCTTTGAAATACTTTACGCCCTAACTTTAGTCCAGTGCCACTGTTGAATTTCACTTTATGATAGTTCTCTTGGCTGTTCTACATATGTGCATTTCCCTTCTAGCTTCCCATGGTAAAACATCCACAGAATTCAGTCTTCTTCATTATATTTGCAACTGGTTCAAGTCAGCTTGTGTCTTGGTTGGCCTCAGCATTGTTCTAAAATTTCATAAAATATCTTTGGGAGTGTCATCTTTATGGTCCACAATGCTGTAAATTTAGTGTTTTGTACCAAAGCTAATCTGGTCTGTGTTGTGGCTTCTTTTATACACATAGAAAGTCCAACTGAATCTGAGCATTTAGGCCCAAGAGAGGCCTCAGAATTTGATAGATGAGTCTGATGTCAGCCCTCAACAAAACAAAAAACAAAAAAAAAACTTTAATGAATTACCAAATTATATCAAGTCTACGATGTCAGTGAATGTTGAGGCACCATTTTTTGAGGACTGCTAAGAAAGAAAAACTGCCCAAAATGGAGAATGTGATAGTGGTGCCAGCATCAAGCCAGTTGCAGTGTTTCAGTATTAGTGAAAGAGAAATAAACTCCCATGCAGAAGACGCAAGGACATTTGCCTGTTTCAGCTGTAATCACGGGTAGTGGAAAAGGGGCAAAACCACTTCTTGAACCCCACTACGGTACTCATGAAGGTTTACTTTCTGAGTCCCACCAGCAGTGTGGAAGAAAAACCTCAGACAAGACTTTAATTTAAAGAGGTGTCAGGTTAGGAGAGTTGCATGTGTCTGGCAAAAAGTAAAAATAAACTCTTTCCAGAAGAAAGCAGCTTCAACTCGGGCCAAGAACAACTGTAAGACATAATCTATTATCAGAGATATTAAAATATACCAAGTATGCATTCTAGAATGACATTATTGCAGTGTTATTCTCTATGATTGTGCAAATCCAGTTGTTCATAGTATATGTGTACAATGCACGCACAAACACACACACCTGAATAAGAAGAGGTTTGAGATACTTTGCGCTATTATTGTTCCTTATTAAAGTTTTCAAATATGGCATTGAGAGATCACCCGACTTGTGCACCCATAATTTAACCATTGTAAATGTGAAGTTTTTAAAGCACACTGTATTTTTTAAAGTCCAGAAATAAGGGAAACATATTAAAATACAAGATGGTATATTCATTATTGTTTATGGAAGGTTTCTGCTTCAGTAAATGGGTGTTTTCCATCATCTCCTATCATATCTCTTGGGAAGAAGTAAAGTAAATATTGAAGTACATGTTTCCTGATATTTAAATGTAAAAAGTCCTATGGTAATTTTTCTCTGGCATATAGATTATATGTGCTTTCTTGGTAAAACATTTGCCATAAAATCATGAAAATCAAACATATCAGATGTTCAACATAAACCAAATAAATATTGTAGTAGATATCTTCATATTGGTGTTGCTTTTTATGTAATTGAATTTCAGTCTGCCTTGTACTGAGGATTGTAGCTTCCCACACACAAAGATATCAAGAATAGTGTTAAATACAGCTATTCAAATGGCTTCATTGTTACTTTCATAACATCAGTTTCACTTTCATATTTTAAGTTAATAAACCTATAAAAATTAAAATACCAGTGACCACCTATAATGTGACAATCACCTATGAACAGTAACATGAAAATACCCTGGTCATAGCTATTTATTTGTTTATCCCTCTACCTATCTATATACCAAAAGAACATTTTAAAGACACATCCACAGGAATCTGTG